AAATATATCAACTACAATGTCAGCAGATGGCCTTACATGTTTGTCATGGCAGGAGAATGTCTGCAGTCACACACACGGAATACTCATACAGTATACTCCGGTTTATCGTACATTGTGACCGTACATATACTGCATGTAGCTAACGAGGCTAGCTGTATGCTAGCGCAAAACAATGTATTCATGCAAGTTACATTGTATGGTAGCAGAATACCCGTATACGATTGCAATTATAAACACGTTATTGCTAGCCTAATATGAACCACTAGCTTTTGTTCATAGTAGTTTTATTACACTGCATTATAGTTGCCTTTCCTCCAAGCTAACGTTCATATCGTGTTAGCTACCAAGGTAAACAAAGCTAGGTTAGCATATTAGCAGGCAAGCTGTTCATTACACAACTACTACTAACGAATCTAAAACAACTAAGTTTCTCTAATATTTTGTGATTTGCATTTGATTTCGTCCAGCCAGATCCTGGCGGACAATCCATGACGGGGAAGGGATTCTACTACTACTGAGGCCTCGTGCTAAAAGGCACCGCACCGCACCGGCTGTGCGCAGGCAAGAGGAGGAGGAATGGATGATATACCGTGTATATATGTATATTTATGTTCATTTTGTACATTTCTAAAAATAAAGTTTAATGGAAATACTTAGTAGGCCTATCCTTTCTTCCCTGAATTCATATATAGCAAACCATGATTTGATTTCTCATCAAACAGTAGTAGTTTATAACGGGTAAAAATAACTTACTCTTTGTTATGAGAGTAGCTCGTAGGCCACAACGGAAAGACAAGGAGACATACACGAGTTTACAAAACCACGGCACATTTATTGTGGTAAATGCAAAGATAGGTGGTTGAGAGGATCGCAGAGTTAGTCTTCCTGCAGCCGCTTTGGAGAGAGACTGGGGCCGTAGTGTCCGGAGGTGTCCGTGATCGTGCTGATTAGCTTCTTCAGCTCCACCCCATCGTAAGACAAAGGCCCTGGGGCCGTCACACTCTTCTATAACAACAGTTAAAAATATATATGTATATAAAATATACCGCTGTACCGACGCCATGATAAGACTGATGTTACGCTGAGAGCAGCCGGGAAAAGCACTGACATGGGCGCAGCCTCTCTGGTGGTTGACTAATCAGAACGAGTGGCCGAGCTGACCAATCGGAGCACACTAGGCTCACAGGGAGGGGGGGGCAAGAGCTCCAACGAGTCGTTTAGTGGAGAAAGTGAATACTGCTGAATACACATGCTTGACAGAGATGCTGTATGCGAAACCAATGTGAGTTTGGAAAATTGCACAGTATAAATCTATTTTAGTATACCTCAACAATGTAATTATGATCAGTGGAAATGGCCATGACATGGGCCCTTTAAAGAATATATTTGGCAGTTTGGAGTAAGTCTGTAGATTTGTTTGTGTGTGTGTGTGTTTCATGTATAGGCCTCTCACGATAATTAATTTTGTTGGATACATTTTCCCGGAAATTATTGCGATAAACGATAATATTGTCGGCACCGTTGTATGACCATTTTAGACCACTGACATAATGATAATATATAATAATAATTCAAGTACATCCTTTCAAACTGCTAGTCACATCCTCATGTAAATGGAAATTTATCGAGGTCAGAAAAGTTATCGAGTTCATTTTTATTTATCGTACGATAAGTCAATTAATTGCTTATCGCGACAGGCACACAATACAACAGTGGAAACAAACATGTTTGACTTTCATTAGTGAATGAAACTGTGTGCCCTTTATAGTCTGTGTCCATTATTGTGTATTTGTATATATTGTATATATATCCTATATATATGCTAAGGTCCCGCTGCTGACACGATAGCAGTCATGTCGTGCGCATATGTGTAATTAAACCGAATTAAACCCATGATATCACAATCTCACTCCAGCCAGGTACCCAAAGTTGGCAACCCTGCAATTCATAAGTGCAGTCGTTGGATGCGACCCGAATTATATCACGCAGCCCCTCGTCCTCCACAATGTTAATTGGCCTGCATCAGCAGTGTGCTTGGATTAGATGGTATTTTAAACTCGATGCGCTCTGAAACTATATACGGGGCGGCCGAGGACAAAAAATACACATGCGTTAATCGCGTTAAAAAATGTGTGGCGTTAATTTTTGTTTGCGTTAACGCGTTATTAACGCAGCATTGTTTATAGATTTAAGTTTCAATGTGTTGCGCTAATTGTGCAGGACATTCTGAGCGACGCTCTGTTATTTATTGTCAAAAGGATCAAATAAGGATCTATTGTAGTTATAATTTAACATCTTGCAATTAGCGTACTCTGATAGATGTTCAAAGGAATACGATTTGAGGAGGTTCAATAAACTGAATTGAAGAAGAACAATAAATAAATACAATAAAATATGTATCATATATATGTGGGGGTCGCTAATACATTACCAACAACCATTATTTTAATCACAAATAAGGCATGTGTCAATGTAATGAGTATTATTTACGTTAACGAGGTAATATAGGCAAAAAGAAAAACATGTTTTCCAAAAGAACTACGCATCTCTTGAATGTATACATTATTGCGCAATCGATGCCTGTGAGCGTGCTGCGAGCAGCGATGATGTGTGCGCGTAGTTGAACCTTTTCATATTTAAGTTTGTAGCAAGTAGAGGGCTGTGTGTGTGTGTGTGTGTAAAAAATAAATAAAAATAATATCAAGCAGCGGAATTACACTAAGTAGGCTACCTCATTATGTTAGTAACTCATATCACATTATGGAATAAAAATATAGGTCAGTGAGCTCTCTCTCGTCTCTCACTCTCTCCAGACTCTTTCAAGAGACAAAACACAAGCCCCACATTTAGCTATTTTGCATTTTAGTATTGTAGTGTCTCGCTGCGGGAAACACACCTGCAGCGATGCAGGCCTAATCGATGTCTGTCGCTCACTGAATCCCTTTGGAATGGATTTCACGAGATATGACAAAACAACTAAAACCCGTATCGACAGGATTTATGTATCGAGTCACTTCTCTGTAACCAACTATAAAACAATCTTTAATAACTTTTCGGATCATCTTTTGGTTCAAACGTCATTATCCTCCGGAGCCCCTTCCACTAGAGGCTTCTGGAAACTGAACACACAGTGCCTACAAAATACTTGTGTATCAACAGAACTACAACTGGAAATAAAAAAATAATACAATTGAGATGTTTAACAAACTCTGACATCAAATTATGGGAAACATTAAAAATTAGGTTAAAACGTTTTTTCAAATTTAAATGTAGAGAATTAAATAAAGCAAAAAAATATTAAATATGAATCATTAATCAAACAATATATTCATTTAAAGCAGATTAAAGTTAAAACTAAAACGGTAGGAGAAAATATATCTAAATTAAAAACTGAAATGGATCAATTAAACCAGGAATCATTATATAATATTCATACAACATCTGAAATAGATCAAAGAGGCAACTTGGCACAAGCCATTAAAACCAACCAAAAGCAAATTCAAAGTAAATTCATCAAATGTATAAAAAATCAAGAAGGTTGTATTGTGTATAATGAAAAACAGAAACGAGAAGTGATAAGAGATTTATGTTCTGAAGCATATACAAAAATAGACATTGAAACGGACTGTGTTAAAACTCTTTTGGGAACTATCCCTCCGTACAACATCCAAGAATTTGATTTCCTTCTCGGTGAAATTAGAAAAGACGAGGTGATCCAGGCGGTGAAAGAGCTGAATGTCGGTAAGAGCCCCGGTCCTGATGGCCTGCCCACTGAGTTTTATCAACTATTATCTGATGATGTTTTAAACTTACTAACCTCTATGTTTAATGAAGGTCTCAGCAGTGGTTGTATGGGGGACTCATTTTATGAAGGTGTCTTGACTCTACTATATAACAAAAACGATGAAACTGATATAGATAATTACAGACATTTAACTATTATGAATACGGATTATAAAATACTAGCACAAATAATAATGAATAGATTAACAGATATAATAGATAAAATAATAAAGAGCAAACATGTGCTATAAAAGGTCGCCTTATGTGGGACAACTTATCAATTTGAAGAGAAATCATAAATAAACCAAAAGAAGAAAAAGGTTTTTTAATTATTGGACTTGATGAAAAAAAAGCTTTCGACTATTTATCCAGAGATTACTTCTGGTCGGTGATGAAGGCCTACGGATTTCCTGAAGCCTTCATAAACATGATTAAGTGTCTGTATTTTAAATCTTGTGTCTGTGTAAATGTAAACGGTGTGTTGACAAATGCATTTAATGTTGAAAGAGGGGTTAAGCAGGGGTGCCCTCTAAGCGCAGCTCTATACGTGCTAGCCATAAATCCGTGAATTAAAATAATAAACAATGACAGGTTAATATCAGGAACACCAGTTGGCCATGCGCCCAAAATAACTGCCATCGCCTATGCAGACGATGTCACTGTTATTATAAAAAACCAACAAGAAATGGATGTTCTAACAAACCACCTAAACTTATATGAATTGGCATCAGGAGCTAAATTAAACCACAACAAAACTGAAGGTGTTTGGATCGGCACCGACGATGCCAAATGCGACATAAACATTCAAGTGAAAAAAGAAATTAAAATACTTGGAATAACTATTTGTAGCGACAACTGTGCTGAACTCAATTGGGAGAACAAACTAAGTGAAGTCAAAGAACAAGTTAAACAATGGGAGAATAAAAATTATAAATCAAGAATAAACATAATAAAATCATTCATACAAGATCCTTTTTCCAGCAAACATGTTCCCCCCTCCAGCCCAAATAATTATGCAATTAAACAAACAGTGTGTCAATTTGGTGTGGGGTACAGCCAGGGTTCCAGTTATAAACTGAGCTCTATAGGGGCGCGCGCACACACACACACACACACAACAAGCCTGGAGTGGAGTAAAATGCACAATAAGCTTAACTCTCCTTTAGAGGGTCTTAACGTAACAGGATATAAATATAATAATATAGCCTTACCATAATTCAGCAGAATTAAAAACAGCAGGTGGTCCATAGTTGTCTCTCTCAAAGGTCAGTGGCTGTCTGCATATCGCATATGATCTGCTTTCTTTATATGCTCCTACAGCAGGGGAGGGCTCTAGGGTTGCCCAGGCAACCGTTCTTAGTTGCGACTTGTGTCTCTGGAGGGCCCCATCCTTTTATCCTTGTAGAATCTAACCACTAATGCAGGGAGAATGAAAAAATATGGATACAAATCATCAAAGAAAAAGGTGGTCACTTGCAGGTGAAGCATATAACAGACAGACAGACAGACAGACAGACAGACACACACGGACAGACACACACAGACGGACAGACAGACAGACATACACACACACACACAGAGACAGACAGAGAGAGACAGACAGACAGACACACACACAGAGACAGACAGAGAGAGACAGACAGACAGACACACACACAGAGACAGACAGAGAGAGACAGACAGACAGACACACACACACACAGAGACAGACAGACAGACACACACACACACACAGAGACAGACAGACAGACACACACGGACAGACACACACAGACGGACAGACAGACAGACATACACACACACACACACACACACAGAGACAGACAGAGAGAGACAGACAGACAGACACACACACAGAGACAGACAGAGAGAGACAGACAGACAGACACACACACACAGAGACAGACACACACACAGAGACAGACAGAGAGAGACAGACAGACAGACACACACACACACACACAGAGACAGACAGACAGACACACACACACACAGAGACAGACAGAGAGAGAGACAGACAGACAGACACACACAGACACACACACAGAGACAGACAGAGAAAGACAGACAGACAGACACACACACACACACAGAGACAGACAGACAGACACACACACACACAGAGACAGACAGAGAGAGACAGACAGACAGACACACACACACACACACAGAGACAGACAGACAGACACACACACACACAGAGACAGACAGAGAGAGAGACAGACAGACAGACACACACAGACACACACACAGAGACAGACAGAGAAAGACAGACAGACACACACACAGAGACAGAGAGACAGACAGACACACACACAGAGACAGACAGAGAGAGAGACAGACAGACAGACACACACACAGAGACAGAGAGACAGACAGACAGACAGACAGACACACACAGACACACACAGAGACAGACAGAGAGAGACAGACACACACACACACAGAGACAGACAGAGAGAGAGACAGACAGACAGACACACACACAGAGACAGAGAGACAGACAGACAGACAGACACACACAGACACACACAGAGAGAGACAGAGAGAGACAGACAGACAGACACACACACAGAGACAGAGAGACAGACAGACAGACACACAGACACACACACAGAGACAGAGAGACAGACAGACAGACACACAGAGAGACAGAGAGACAGACGAACAGAGAGACAGACGGACAGACACTTGGTCACAGGAGCATTTTGACAGTGAATGTACAATAATTAATACAATTAAATACAAATAAAATAGTGAATATATAATTGTGGTATAGCGTCTGAATTAACAAACTCTGATCAGAAGAAAATCTTAGCTCCCTGGAGGTAGCTAGAAAGCTACCTGAAAAAAGGACCTCAGTTTACAAACACATCTATTCAAGGAATCATCCTTAAGTATTCATTTTGTTTATTAAAGTGTACTTTATTTTTCTTCACAGCATATTCTGAGATGGCAGATTCCAGTGAAAATGGGGGAAGCAAAACTTGCAGAGGCTTCCAAGCTTTGGGATGAAAAACCTGATGATCTTGAAGAGGATGAGAAGGAGGCAATCTTAGAGCCATTCCAGTTTTGTTTCGAACAGATTGAAGACATGTGGACCAGACAGACAGACAGACAGACATGTGGACCCTCTGTAATGAGATTACAGAGGGTCAGACAGACAGACATAGGGACAGACAGACAGAAAGAGGGACAGACAGACATGTGGACCCTCTGTAATGAGATTACAGAGGGTCAGACAGACAGACATAGGGTCAGACAGACAGACATAGGGTCAGACAGACAGACATAGGGTCAGACAGACAGACATAGGGTCAGACAGACAGACATAGGGTCAGACAGACAGACATAGGGTCAGACAGACAGACATAGGGTCAGACAGACAGACATAGGGTCAGACAGACAGACATAGGGTCAGACAGACAGACAGAGGGTCAGACAGACAGACAGAGGGTCAGACAGACAGACAGACAGAGGGTCAGACAGACAGACAGACATAGGGTCAGACAGACAGACATAGGGTCAGACAGACAGACATAGGGTCAGACAGACAGACAGAGGGTCAGACAGACAGACAGACATAGGGTCAGACAAACAGACATAGGGACAGACAGACAGACATAGGGTCAGACAGACAGACATAGGGTCAGACAGACAGACAGAGGGTCAGACAGACAGACAGACATAGGGTCAGACAGACAGACATAGGGTCAGACAGACAGACAGACATAGGGACAGACAGACAGACATAGGGTCAGACAGACAGACATAGGGTCAGACAGACAGACAGAGGGTCAGACAGACAGACAGACATAGGGTCAGACAAACAGACATAGGGTCAGACAGACAGACATAGGGTCAGACAGACAGACATAGGGTCAGACAGACAGACATAGGGTCAGACAGACAGACATAGGGACAGACAGACATAGGGTCAGACAGACAGACATAGGGTCAGACAGACAGACATAGGGACAGACAGACAGACATAGGGTCAGACAGACAGACATAGGGTCAGACAGACAGACATAGGGACAGACAGACAGACATAGGGTCAGACAGACAGACATAGGGTCAGACAGACAGACATAGGGACAGACAGACAGACATAGGGTCAGACAGACAGACATAGGGTCAGACAGACAGACATAGGGACAGACAGACAGACATAGGGTCAGACAGACAGACATAGGGTCAGACAGACAGAAAGAGGGACAGACAGACAGACATAGGGACAGACAGACAGACATAGGGACAGACAGACAGACATAGGGTCAGACAGACAGAAAGAGGGACAGACAGACAGACATAGGGACAGACAGACAGACATAGGGACAGACAGACAGACATAGGGTCAGACAGACAGACAGACATAGGGTCAGACAGACAGACATAGGGACAGACAGACAGAAAGAGGGACAGACAGACAGACATAGGGACAGACAGACAGACATAGGGACAGACAGACAGACATAGGGTCAGACAGACAGAAAGAGGGACAGACAGACAGAAAGAGGGACAGACAGACATGTGGACCCTCTGTAATGAGATTACAGGCCAAAGAGGGTATTTTGCGTACTGCGAATGCATTTCAAATATTTAGTTTTAGATTAGATTTATAAGGGTCCAAGCATCGACAACGTCAGGATGACCCTATTGTATTTGTAGGAATTATTATTATTACTATAGTTCATTTTTTCCGAAGTGAATCGCATTTTGAGGGCTTTAATTGTTTGTTGTCTCCTGCTAAAGCGAGCCCTTCTCCATTTAAGGGAGTAATGTGAAGTGTTTGTTCAGTGTCATTTGATATTGTGAGTGCGTGTGATGGCTCTGAGGCTGCTAAATAAAGGGCAACAGAAAGTTTGAATACTTTGTCAGTCTGTGTGTGTTTTGCTTTCTTTTGTTTTCAATGAAGCATTTCATAATTCACTTTGATTATACCATGAGCACCACAGAGGAATGATAGTTTACTTTAACATAAGCCTTTTATTGTCTCCCGCATCGCACCACAAGGGCAACTTAGGAGTCCAGCATCAAGAGGACTCATCTAGCAGAGACAATAAGTACCAAATATGAAAAATAATACACAATGGAATCTAAAATGGATATAATTTCTAGCAAATAGTTAATATGCATAATCTTAAGCCTATTAGCAGTAAAGTGAGAAATAAAGTATCAGCAAAGTGTGTAGGACTGAAGTGGAACAGTCTATTGTAATAGCACACAGTAGACTATAGAGCTGAAAGTAATATTATACTTAAGATTTTCAGGCTTATGACATATGAGGCTAATCATTTTAAGAAAATAAATATGGTTTTAACTAACTTTTACTGCCCTTCATAAGTGGTGACATGCTGACATAGTTAACATATTTATCATACAAGTAAACACGTCATCTTGTTATATCAAATACCCACAGCTGTCGGTTAATCATATTGAACTCAGCTGATTGCAGTAAAAATACCGTAGTATAGTCATTATTTTTACGTTATTATTCAAAGATAAATAAGGAAGTGTATATATAAACTGTGTGCTGTTAATCTGTTTTTTGAGGTGTTGCTCTCTTGTTTCTTTTAACCGTACAGGTGTGATTTAATAGTTATTTTGTATGTTATTGTCAACGGAAAAAACTGGTGCAAATCCAGTCAAGATTGACAAGGCCCGGAGGTTTGTTAACAGTCTTATGGCTGCATTTGTTCATAGCCTAAATCATAGTTCAGCAACAGGCGGACCGCGGTCCGGGTCCGGACCCAGACTCCGACCTATACGGACCCGGACCCATAATCAATACATTAATAGGGGATTTCAATTTTGATGGGGCGATTCTATTTTAACCGCTGCCGACAGGGGGCGAAAGAGACGAGTGAGCGATACAGGGAGAGAAACACAGAAGAAGAGACGAGAGAGCGGCAGAGAGAAGCGGAGAGGAAAGTGAGTGAAGAGAATAATTAGCGATACAGAGAGAGAAGCGGAGAGGAGAGTGAATAGGAGTGTTAACGGCAGACAGGGAGAGACAAATAATTACACATGGCGCTCTCCAATCTGAAGAGGAAAGTGGACAGTGAGGACAGAGCTTTTAACCCTGAGTGGACGGACTCATTCATGTTCATCCTGCCCACTGGGAGCACAGAACCAGTGTGTCTCATTCAGAGACCGTGGCGCTCATTAAAAGTGCCAATGTGAAATGCCACTATGAGACAAAACACAAAGTGTTTGACCAAACATTCCCTCTCAAGTCAGAACGGAGGTCAAATGCTCGTTCCAGGCTAACCAATGAGCACCTGCAGGTGTGTATGAGAATGGCCCTGACACCATTTCAGCCCAGATCTAAACTCCTGGCAGGACAAGCTCAAGCTCAATTCTCGCACTGAATTAAAAAAAGTGAGTGAGGGACTGCAATATAAGAGGGAAA